CTTACTTTGTTGATAATGCAGACGAGCAGCCACTCTGATTAGTTATCACACTGGTCAAGCGCGAACATAATGACAAGTATCGGAATAAAAAAAGGCATTGTTCCGTGGTTGCACCCAGCAGCTGCGTGAAGAAAACCATGAGCGATAGTGTACTAGATTAGGTGTAGTGGTCCGAGGAGCGTCGCGAGGAAGGCGTGCGTCTGAAGCAGAATATCCAGAAAGACTTCGTGGCCGCACGGGGGCGCTGCAGTCTTTCACCTTGGTTTAGCGTCATTCAGCTGCCACCGCGTTGGTACGTTGGTTGCTTCAGTCTGTCTTCTTTGTGCTCGCAGTGCTCGTATTGACGTTCTGTGTTTTGTCAGTGCATTGTTTTTATTCCGTTTTATGTGTTCGTCATTTACCAATGAAAGGACATGACAAAGCCTCGTCGGAAGAACTATTGCTTCGCTCCCGGTTGCATAACTGGGTAAAGCGGTGTGAAGAACGCGCCGAAGTTATCGCTGTTTGGTGTCCCCGAGGATGATGAAAGGCGCCGTGTTTGGCAGCGCAACCTTCACCGTGCTGATAAACCCTTGGAGCTGTCCGACGCCGTGTGTGAGCTCCACTTATAAGAAAAGCACATACTCCGGGACTATGTTCACGTCATTGATGGCAAAGAAGTAAGAAAACCACATGGGAAACCGTCACTCTCACCGGACGCAGTCCCGACAATTCTGCCAAATGCTCCCAAATACCTGTCCAAAGTGCAGTACGCGAAAGACCCCCACGAAAAAGGGCGTCCGCAGAACCAGCAAAATGTGACTCTGCTAAGAAACCCTTCTTGGAAGTGAGTGAGCTTCAAACAGACGGACCAGCAATCGACGTAGAGGCCACGCCGTTTGATTTATGGAATGTGCCTCTACCGACGGAGCACTGGGCTGCTCACAAGTTTGCCGATTTTGATGGTGCTGCCCATGTTCAGGCCTCTTTCAACAGCGAGTCTCAAGCTGTCGTGGTTGAAAAGAGTGTTTTCATGAACTCCCGATGTACGGAAGGCGATGTTGTGTGCCGGACGTATGTTCGCCGCACGCTAACATCGGAAACACTCTCGCGTACCCTGATGCAGACTTGCTGCACATTTGTGAAGGAGCAGGCGAACGACCGGAGTTTTCCTCTTTGCCTCTTACAAGACGGCTAAACCAACAGATTATCTACCTGGATGGAGTTGTCCCAAGTGTAAAATGCAGAGGAAGTGTGCCTAGAGAAGGTTAGAAACTAATTTTATACTCGAAATAATATTAAGAATATGCCTACTACACGCTAAGGAATTCCAGGGGGTCGAATTTGCGGTACCCTCCACTACGGCGTGTTTGTATTGGTTTTGGCACACAAGGCGCTCTAAATTATTATTAGGCTTAGTTGTTTTCGGTGACTATTTTCAGGTCCTTGACTACACATACGCATTTGTGCTTGTCATTTTGAAACATGTACTAATTGGAAATAGCCTAACTGTTACTGAAGGTATCAGTGCCATATCGTTTCTTTTGCACATGGTTTCATGCAAGCGTTATACTTTACAGGAGCCCCATGCATATTGTGCAAGTATCTCAGGAAGGCGCTGCTGACGAGACGGAGCGAGCTCAAGCGAAAAAGCTTGCAGGTCACACCTGCCAAGAAGCTTCGACTTCTCAGCCATAACAATCGGCATGCTCGTGCTAGGCTTGTGAGCCTTACTGCCAGCCTTAATGACATGAGGGCACAATGTGCAAGCATAAAAGCTGAAGTGCTTGAGGAAAATATATCTCGCTTGCCGCATAAACAGCAAAAAAGTGTGTGCCAATGCTTTGTGGCCTCGAAAAGGGCCAGCAGAAAAGAAATAATTTACAGTCAGGAATGGATTCTTGAATGAATCTTGATGAAGATACAAAGTCCTAGGCTCTATCACCACATTAGGAAGCATAACATATTAGTACTGCCATGCAAGACAACATTGCAGAAATATACAAAGACGTACAGATCATCCTTTGGATTTAATATCAGATCAATGGACATACTAAAAAAGAAAACCAGCATTATGTCTTCATTCCAGAGACATGGAGGCCTGCTTGTTGACGAGCTGAAGCTATCGGAACACTTCCATGTAACATCATCAAGCCACATACAAGGATTTGTGGACCTTGGGACGTTCACGAGACCTGAGCACAAACACCAGGCGTGCGACCATGGCATGGTAATCATGTTCATCCCCTTCACAGGAAGATGGAGTCAAATAATAGGAGTTTTCGGCACCAAAGGCAACATAAAAGGAGATCTGCTTTTCAAAATAATAATTGAAGCCGTGATATTGCTTGAAAAGGCTGGCTTGTTTGTGGACCACATTTCATGCGACGGAGCCACATGAAACCGAAAGATGTGGCAATTGGCTGGTGTGTGTGGTTCTGCAAAAAAAGTTGTGTGCAAGACGGAGCATCCTGTGGACAGCAAAATAGCCTTGCATTTTGTGTCAGACTTCCCGCACCTCATCAAATGCCTTAGAAACGGGCTGCTCAAGACTGGCTTCACAACACCAGATAGACATGTAAGTCAAATGCTTTGGGCTCTTAAAATTACAACCATACCTTGCATGACTCACACATTTCGCTTTTTATTCACTATATGGGTGTCGATTCGGGCTGTGCGGGAAGCATTTCAACGTGATTTCAACGTGCGGACACTCAAGGTGATGCCCGGTTTAACCGAGGCTCACCTAGATCCAAACTCTTTTGAAAAGATGAGGGTTTGTCTTGCCTTTCAACTGTTCGGAATGTCTGTTTTAAGAGGAATGACATTCTATAAAGCAGACATTCTATAAAACATTCTATAAAACATTATGACATTCTATAAAAGTATGTGGTAGCATCACTGCAACTCAGGAGTTCTTTGCGTAAGTTGTTGTTTCTTATCTGTTGTGCTTACTCGCAACTAAAACGAGCACCACAACAATTAGATGTTCTGAATTTTTTTGCAGGAAGATCAACAAGGTCATCACTGCCATGACCTCAAGATTTACTGCTGAGGCACTAAGACCAGGCTCTACAGCTGTAGCCACCCTTGTCAGTTTTCTTGAGTACATCAACAAGTGGGAGGCGTGTGGAGAGGCATTTCTCAGCAACTCAACAGCTACAGGTCTCCAGGTTACAATCTCAAGCACGCTGTCTCTGCTTGAATACGTGAACAAGTCAGTTGGCTATAAGTACCTAATGACCTCAAGGCTAAGCGCCGACCCTATGGAAAACTTTTTTGGAATTGTTCGCCAGTCTAGCAGTTGTAATGCCCATCCCTCTCCAGAACAATTTCTTGTAACAGTAAACTTGCTTTCATTTTACAACCTAGCAAGGAGTGTGGATGGAGCGAATACAAATCCAGATGTTGTAAGTGCTCTCATAAGTGTTGATGGCCAAGATGTGCCCGTAAAACCTAAAAGAATTGATGAAATGCTTGCGGAAGGTAGGCTTGATGAAGCCGAAGTATCTCTGGAGAAAGCTAACGGTAGCGCGCACCACTTCTCCTTTGTTGTTGAAAAGATCAATTCAAGATTAATATATTATGTTGCGGGTATGTGGTCCAGAAATGTGTGTTTTAGCTCAAATGCACATTGTTCAGAGATAACTTACTTGTAGAATCGGCAAAAGCTGCTACTAATGGCCTTCCTTCTAGCTACACAGAGCACTGCAACTGGGGTGGGTTGTTGTACCCCTCCGGTGAGCTGCACAACTTCATCTCCTGTCTAGAGAATATTTTCACTAAGTGCTTTAGCTTGAACGAATTGCATGCGAATAGCGTTTGTGATGTTCTCTTGCAAATGAAGTCAAACTTTTTACTCAGAAATTCTGTGGGCTGCATTGATCACGGCAAAGAAGTGAGTGAGAAAATTGTTTCATTTTATATACTCAAGCGCCTCCATTTCCTAGTGAAAGGCATCAACAGCTCCAATGCTACGCAAAGGCAAAGGGCAAAACACCTGAAACTGAGCAGGAGTCTAGGCGTTCAGTTCTCCTCAGAGCTTGGTTCACGAACCCTTGATTGACTTTTGTGTATTTGTTTGTAAATAAACTGCACTGCTTTCTGTTAAAATACAATTATATTGTCTCGAAGTGTGTGTGCGCCTTACATGCGTTCTTTTTTATGCAAGTCTTGATCAGCCAGCTGCACCATCGGCACTAAAAAATCATTCGAACTTGCGTTGTCTTGTAAAAAGGGTTAAAAAAAACGAAGCAATTTTGTTCATTATCCTGTCTTTCCCTTCGCTGTTTGAGAACGCGTTGCGGCGTATGTGAAGCTGTTTCTAAGGCGTGCAAAAGGAGGCATCCGACGTGCGAAAGAACGCATCCGATACGTGCGCGCAGAAGTGCCCAGGTGAAAGGGGCAGCAGCACCACCTGTGCATGTCTGGGAGAAACGCCTCGCCGCGGGGCCTTTCCACGGCCCACTACCCCTAATCTAGTACACTATACATGAACCGAGCGACGGAGCTTCAGCTTCGCATCGTCTGCGACTCAAAAGCAAGCCAGTGGCAAAAGCAGGGCAATCTGATTGCCATTGCTATCAAGTAATGGCGGTGCCCATGCTTGCTGAAGAGCGGCGGTACAGCAGCAGTTTCTGGTGGTGCCAATGCGTGTTTTAGACTTCGTTGACGCATCTTCAGGCTCTGAAAATGCATTGAAATGTTAAAGATTGGGTTTACTGCATAGAAATAAGTGTCCGAGCCCGGAATCACATCGTAGAATTTTGTTGAAGCGGTACGATCAAAGAAAAAGTGTTTGTTGTGGCGACAATATTTATGCATTGACTCCTATGAACTACTGACGGAGAATCGTGAATTTTTCTTTGCAGCGGAAATTTCTTTGAAGCGGCGTTCGTTGTACCAGAGTTCGACTGCATTCCAGATTTTGAAGTATACAATGAACCTATGTAACAAGTACTGCTTTAAGAACAGCGGGCGCAGCAGTTAAACGCTATTACTAGGTTGCTGCTTTCGGTCGCTTTGATCGTGAATATAGGTCGAGATTTCTTGGTCACAAATATAGGTCGATAATTAGTTATGAACGTTTTCGGAAAGAAAAGGTCATCCTATATTCAAATAAATACAATATTTTATACCATAAACAGCTGATTGTCAATTTCCATTTCTCAGCGAGCCCTCTAGAGTATAATATAACGCTGCCTCCCTGTATGACATACCCCTTATCAACATACAAGCCCCCAGAGAACCATTCTGCATATGCACTCTTTATGTCCCCGTTCCAACATAAACTGCCCTTTGACTGCCGATAATCCACACAGAGCACTCAAAAGCACTGCACAATGTTTTTTCCTCTCGCAGCAGCACTGTCTCCATAGTACGTCATTACTACTTGAGTTGTGCTCGTTATGAGTGGCAATGTATATCAATGCAAAGATCGTGACTACAGCTCTGTTATACAGCACAAACAAGAAAGAATCCATCCGACTTTTTCTCGGTTATTATTTCATGGCAATCTTCTCGTCGCCATTGCACTATAAAATCAATATCAAATGACAATAAAAAAAGTAGCAAGAAACAATGACCATTAAGAAACACAGTAGGTGACAAGTATTGTGAAACCTTAAGTACAGAGCACGTCTCATCTTGCAAGCACTCTGGCCTTCGAGTGCTGCGCTACAAAATAAAAACAGTAAAACCACACAACAAAAGGGTTTAAACATATAAAGAATAGCAATTTGTGTGTGTGTGTACAATAGTTCACAGAAAATATTTGCTGTCGCACCAGGGGCGAGAGACAAAGAACAAAAGCAAAGGTAATTCGTTTAGCAGAGCCTACTGTCGCAGTAAAAAAACACCCCCGTACGGTCATGTTCGTGCATGTGTTCTTTGTACCCAAAGACTGGCTACCACAGTGTTTAGCAACTACATGTGTTCTTGGTGGTTTGTGTGCTTCTCACATTTCAAAAATATGAGCTAAATATTTCATCTTTGCTTTTGTAAATGGTTTAAGTACGATCTACGGTACATCCAGAAAAAATTTGATAATACGTATTTGAAGCCTAAGGCCGTTGACTGCATAAATTCTACTGCATGTTAAATGCAGGCCGATTTTTCGTTATACTCTACCTTATTTTTGCACAGATTCGAAACTGTACATTCATATGCCACAACGTTTACAAACACCATCACTGTTTGGGACAGTAAAAAAAATTACTGGCATGTCCTACAACTATAGCATATATATTTTACTTTTCTATGGACATGTCTACTGCACCGAATCCACAAACCTAGCTCAGGTACATGTGGTAGAATTTGACAGAAATTGCAGCCACTAGTCTACTTCCCCGAGGTATAAAACCATCAAGATGATGTTCAATATTTACAATATGATACAAGGATTTCTGTCGACAGCCCGCTTGTGCTGATGTAGCATAAGATACGACTTCAATTTACACAACCAATGGTTATAAATATAGTGATTATCACTGCTGTACATATTGAATAGGCTGTCTGAATTGCTTTCTTTATGCCTCTGTCTAATAGCCATATAGAAAAAAAAGCTCTGTGAAACACAGTAATTGTTCATAAGAAATACGCACATTTTGAAAAGAGATTTCCATCGCCCCTTTACATCCTAATTTTCTGCACGACGCTTTCTAATTGTGTGGGGGAGTAATAGGTAAAGCATCGTTTCTCTCATCATCAGTCCTGAACCAGGTATTTACACATGAAAAGAGTTTCAAGGAGGTCACAAACACTTAAACTGGACGGCGATGCCCCAGTGGTCACTAGGGAAACACTGCTCATTTTGCAGTCTCCTCTGTCCAATGAGTTTGAAAAAAACAGGCTTTAAGTGAGTTGGTTGAGAGTGTCGAACGTAAATACGGTCAAATCGAAGGCGGGCGGTGACCTTTTTACCAAAGTCTAAGTTGTCATTGCACGTCATGTCCCATGTGTAGCACGATCCTGGGTCCGAACCACACGCTGTCCACACATCCTGGATGCCGTCAGGTACACCACCGCTCGAATCAACCTGGGGACAATCAAAGAGATTGCGGCGAACTTTAAGCCAAAACCCAATATAGCAAAACCTGGTAGGGTAGTTATGAGTGTTAGCAGAATCAGCCACCTATCAGGTTTGGGTATTGCGAACAAACAAGTGTGACATATAGGTAGGTTATGCATTGATAATGAAAAAGTATGAAATGGCTGTCTTGTACAAGAACTATTCAAATTTCAGAACGGAAGGGTCCTCACATTACTCTCCAAATGTCTCGCTTTTATGTAGCTTTTATTCATGCCCAGTTTTTTCTTGAAGGTGCTCCACTTTCAGGGAGTGAGTGACAGTAGCAAGCTGAAAAAATGAGGTCTTTACTGCAGTGTACCTAAACAATCTTGACGAAATCTTAATTAAAGAGTGCCTTAGAAGAATGCAACAATACATGTACGATATTACTTCGTTATGTATATGATTGCACTCAATTTTCTGACACAAAAATAATTTGAATACATCATCAACTCAGTAAACAAACAAAAGGAGCAGCGGATAATTTCAAAAGATTTGGCTCAGAGCGATGTGTAATACTTTTTCAGAAAAAAAGTGGCTACTTGGGCTGGTTGGTATAACATTTTTGAAAAAAATATACTTTCTTAGTGCACAGGGAACGTTTAAAAAGAAGACAGGACAGAGCACACATTTACAACCATTTTATTACACAAATTGCGGGAATATGGAGGCAATAAAATGGTTGTAAGTGTGCGCTCTGTCCCACCTGTCTTCTTTTTGAAACATTCTTTGTGCACTAAGAAGCTACATTTCTTTCAAAAAACCCTTTCAGGCCATTTCAGGAAAAACAAATGCATTGGCTGTACTCCCTTCGACCTTCAATACCTAGAAAACAGAAAGCTTAGCTATATGGTTATACTAATACCGTAGTATCTGGGGTTTTGCATTGAAAACCCCAGGTATTCATTGATGATATGAGAGACGCCATAGTGGGCAACGTTTCTAGAACTAGGTAAGTTGCAAAACTGAGCGATGTTGCGCGGCGGCGCCTTTGCTAGAGACAAATGTGACGCTGCTGTCCCATCCGAATTCACTCAATGCGTGCTCACTCGTGTCACTCCCGTAACCTCCGTCGACTGTGCATGTTACAGTGCGTCGCTATCCGTGGAGGCTTCTTTCTGCGTGAACAGTTTTGTGCTACAGAGTACCCTGTTCTGCTTTGTATGTGTTGCGTGCTTTCATCATGCCCATATGTTGCGTTCCCGGCTGTACGAGTGGCTACAGGAAATGAAAGACACCACGGCATTTCTTTTGTGCCCTGTGTGTACCTGAGCAGCAAGATGCATGGGACCACGCTGTTCCTCGTGCGGATAATAAACTGCCCAGCACATCACATGTGTGTGATATGCACGTTGATGATGACATTCTGAAGACTTTCACTCATGTCATCGATAGTAAGAACGTACAAATCACCAGTAGAAAGTGGTACCTGATCGGAAGATGCGTTCCGCGGATATCCCAAATTAGCCCGCTTACCTTTCAAAACCCATGAGAAAGAAGGAAAAGCTGCCTGATAGGAGTGAAGTACTTTTCAGAATATCATCGGCGAAAAAAAATAGAATATCTTCGAGCACTGAGCTCGGAGACCGTGAAATAAGTTCCGACATGCCGTCAACGAGCTGCGTCATAATTTCGTTTCTAGACGTAGAAAATGTTTGTTTGCCTGCTGCATGTTGGCGGAAAGTTGTTGAGAATGGCGAGACAAGACGTCTTGTGGTGTTTATAGTGCTCAAAGAAGAAAAAGGGCGCTATTTGTGGAGAAATGCGCAGTCACAGAAGACATTAAAGTCACCATTAGTAGCTGTCACCATCGCTTAGCCAAGTCGCCCAGCAATGCAGATACCATCACTCAATTGGCCGAACTTCTCGAGGGCATAGAAAAGCTGAAAGTGTGTTCATGGTGCCCCAATGCGTCAGCAAGAAGCCTCGTGAGTAATGACTACGAAGTGCTCACCGATACCCTAAAGTGCGGTCCCTGCTCGAAGCTTTGGCTTCAGCTGTGTTAACAGGTTTTATTCGAGGAACTCAAGAGAAGTAGAAGGAAGACATGCTTAAGAAAAGCGCCGCACGCACAGCTTTTCGACGGCCTAAGTTGCTGAAGAATGTGTTTGACATAAAAAAAAAAAAAAGCTGATTACAGAACCAGACAAAAGCCACGGGATTGCGCCACATAGTTGTAATTTATTTTAAGGCACGAAAAACACAGTTACAAGCGAGGATACAAAACATTGTAATTTGTTTTTTTTGTGCCTAAAAATAATTGCCAACGTACACCTACTAGCAACTAACCGACAGACTCGTATGTTATGCTATCAATCATCGTTTATCATGGGCAGTTGAGAAAGCTATAATTATGCTGTATTTGCCTTACACTGCTAAAATATTACGCAGTATCAAGATTCTGCGGCAAACAACAAGAAATCCAAATAATATACTGTTGGCAAAGCTGTTTCAGAACGGCCGCCACGGCGTCTTGCCACGACGGCTGCGCGTTTTCGTCTGCTAGCGGAAACTTGTAGCACCGCCAGCACCACCAAACCGGAGGTTGTCTACGAGCTGTGTGAGGGATCGTCTGATGCGGGGAGTTTTGCAACTTACCGTTCTAGAAACGTTGATAGTGGGGCCTGTGAAAATTTTGGCCATTTGGTGTTATTTAACGTGCAGTGGCATCTCACCACACGTAGGCTTTTAGTGTTTTACCTTTATGGAAATGCAATCGCAACAGCCAGGATCAAACCTGCGACCTTAGGGTCAGTAGCGAACACCCATAACCCCTTCTCCACCACAGCGGATGAGCTACTATCGTTGGGATCATCGTGAAAAAGGTTACCGTGTGCAGACATGAACATTTCATTATCACATCTTTCCTATTCATTTGTGGCGCATGCGTTACAGCATGCTAGTCACCACACAACACATATGTTGCCCATAGTTTATACAGCCTATAAAACAGGCAGTAATAAAATTTAGTCCTATAACGGCCGGGACAGGGAAGGTGGCGGGAATAGAGTGGGGGGATGTCACACGGCGTTGTCACTAGGACTTATCTCCGATATACCCTCAGACCTTAATGTAATGAACATGGGTATAAGGAAATATCAGTTATAGCAAATTAAACAAAAAATAGTCTTGCAATATATACGATGTTAGGAATAACCTTTATAAGAAATTCTTGGATATAACAAACTTTTTTCTTGTTACATGCAACTTTATAATAATGAGGCTTGAGTGTACGGTTGTCATTGGTGAAGGAGATCAGACACGATGCTGATTTCTAGAATAACTAAAATCTGGACGCCAGTTCTGAAACAAGGAGCTTTGGTGTCATGCTGATGTTTCAACTCATCGCGACTGCATGCGGTGCCTCACGCAAAAGAATCCTTGAGACCAAGCCCATCTCTGTAGCCTACCCAAAGAAAGCATCATTAACTGTGATAATCATGTAAATAGCACGAGTGGTGTTATTTAGTGAAGTCACAAAACTAATCCGTGAGAGGCCGCGGGCCACCAGCGAGAGGTCTCGGCCACTCGTTTCACACTCCTGCTTTGTAACTATAAGCCTCACTTTACATGTTTCCCAATCACACTTATAACAATACTAAAGTGCCTTGCAAACTTCATTGCTAAATCTGATAATTTCTATAAACGAGCTGTTGAGAGAAAACTGCAACATCGAATGGGATATGCCAACAGACAACTGTGACAAGGATGACAAAGCCACAGAGTTTTCAGACATGTTTGAAAATTAGGATGCTTTCTCAGGCCCACCACAAGCTCAACAGAGCCAATTTATGATGTCTGAGGATTCGAACGATGAAACTTTCTAAAGTCTTAACTTCTCACTGAAATTGCATGTGTGAAAAAGAAGATGTGCCTGCAGTGAGCAGCATCGCCAACGCCCGGCTCTCTCGGCTTGTGCTTCGGTTCGCTGCTGTGCCGGTCTCTGCTGGACGGTTCTTCACGCTGTCTTGCCGTTGTCGTTAACGACTAATAAACCTCTTCACATTTGGTGGAGGGTGCTGTTTATCCCGTCGCTACGCCCTGGAGCTGAAAAGCCGCACGCTACCACCCGTCATGACTGACAACGCCAACGCATCGGCGTCGCCGCCCCAGTTCAACTTCCCTGGCCATCCTAGGATACGGGACCCGAAGGTCTTCAGCCGTGCGGATGGGACCGACGTGGAAGACTGGCTCAAGCACTACGAGCTGGTGAGCGCCAATAATAAGTGGGATGAAGCCGACAAGCTGGGCCACGTCATATTTTATCTCACTGGTGTCGCACAATTGTGGTTTAACAACCACAAACACAACATCCCCACATGGAGCGTCTTCAAGACGTCATGTGCTGAAGTGTTCGGTCGGCCGGCTGTCCGCAAGCAGTGGGCAGAACTGCGCTTGCGCGTCCGCTCCCAGCAGACTGGTGAAAATTTTACCAGCTATATTGAGGATGTCGTCGACCTTTGTCGACGCGCGAATGACACCCTGCCCGAGTCGGACAAGATCAAACACATCCTGAATGAAGGGCATCGACGATGGCGCATTTCAAATGCTCTTGGCTAGGAATCCGAGCACAGTTTCTAAAGTCGTCAGCTTGTGTCAGAGCTACGACGAGTTGAAGAAGCAACGCACTCTGACTCGGCAGCTTCAGCCTGGTGGTGAGTCGCTGTCCAGTTTCGACACCATGCCTGACAATTCACCGTTGCTTCAGCAAGCCCGAGCCTTCGTCCGTGAGGACGTCGCCTGCCAACTTTCTCTAGTGCCCTTTACTCACGAGACCACCACCTGTCTACCTGCCCCGCTTCGCCCTGCTATATTGGAAGAGGTTGCACAAGCTGTTTCCCTTGCGCACTACGAGCCACCTCTATCTAGCCGTGTTCACTGCCCGCGTGTCGCACAGCCGGTTGGCGCTCCTGTCGCCTATCCGCCAGCCATTCAGCCTGTGCCCGTGCCCCTAACGTATGCAGCGC